GAGTGGGGGGAGGGGGAGAAGAGAGGGGGGAGGGGGAGAAGAGTGGGGGAGGGGGAGGGAAATGGGAGGCTGGGAGTAGGCGGAAACTTTTTTTTCTTATTCTCAATAAAATAAAAAAAAATAAAAAAAAAGAATCAATGAAACAAAAAGCTGGTTCTTGGAGAAAAATCAACAAGATTGACAAACCCCTATCCAAACTAATCAAATGGCAGAGAGAGAGCACGCAAATTAATAAGATCAGAAATGAAAAGGGGGGCATAACCACAGACACAGAGGAAAGATTCAGGGAATCTTTCGTTCTTACTACAAAAACCTGTATGTCACAAAATTGGAAAATGTAAAAGAAATGGACATTTATTTATATAAGTACCATATACCAAAATTAAATCAAGACCAGGTGAACAATCTAAATAGACCTATAAGTCACAAGGAATTAGAAGCTGTCATCAAAAACCTCCCTACCAAAAAAAGTCCAGGAACAGATGGTTTTAATGCAGAATTCTAGCAGAACTTCCAAGAAGAGCTAATAACTATACTCTTTAATGTGTTTCATAAAATAAAAACGGAAGAGTCATTGCCAAACTCCTTTTATGAAGCTACAGTTACTCTGATACCAAAACCAAAGACTCAACCAAGAAAGAGAATTACAAACCAATCTCACTCATGAACATCAACACAAATTCTTTTGAACCTCTCCCAAACTGTCATGGATTGACACTACAGATGTTACACGTGGTCTACATGATACTGGAACCTTACTAATTAAATCACATAATTCTGGGCACATAGCTATTCATATATAGTAAATCAGTTCTATGTGGAAAAGAAACCATAAAAACCAAAAAACAACAACAACGAAAACAGCTTTCACGAATCACACAAACCACCAGAACCAATTTCACTTACTTCCAAACTGAGAGAGAGAGGCACTTTCCAGCGTGATACCTTTCCACTTGTACAAGGTCACCCCATCTCTCTCGGATTAACATCAGAGTCTGGGAATGTAACACTTCTAATTGAAGAGATAAGCAGAAACAATCTGATTTATCATGTTAAGAAAATCAAACATAATATGCTCTTCAAGCAGGCAATAATCACAGGCAAATGTCATCTAACAAGGAATCTATGCCCAAAAAGCTAGAAATAAAGGAAGTTTTTGGAATCATCTTGGTCTAATGACTCGTCCTAAATAAGACAAAACCTGTGGTTGCCTGAAATTATATTCTCAAATGACAAATCATAAGAAGTAGTAAAATATGTGGCATAATTTTAGAAAAAAGGTTGACAATTTTGGCCTAAATAAACAAAACTAGGTCCGGGTTTATCCCTTAATTCATCGTTTAGAAAATACGAATTAATCAAATAACACATTTTCACCAAAATGGTACCTCTTTTTGAGACAGGTTCTCATTATGTAATGCAGGCTGGCTTTGAACTAGCTACAGAGCCTTGCCTCTCAGATGCTGAGATTATAGGCATGTACCACCTTGCCCAGCAAACATTACTATTTCTAAGTAATCACTTTTAGGAGTTGCCTGCAAAGTCGGCGGTAAAATTTGCTATCAGTCTTATTATAGATATATCATTAATGTTCATACTGGCTGGTTCTCCATGCCTATTTCTATTCAAGAGATGAGGTACGGGAAGGAGAGACCAGATTACTACACTCAGGACAAAGGATAAACAGAAAATGTAGAGGAAAGAGGAAGACACAAAATCCTCACAGTACATGTCTCAAATTTCAGAAGGATACGTAGGCAGTTGTACATGTCCTGAAGAGGTTTCTCATCAGCAAAGAGCCTAGACTGCACCAACTGATGGATAAAGTCGATTTGCATGCTATGAACCAAAGCTCGGCCATCTTCCATTGGTAGAAGAAAAGAAGGCAGTTAATTGGAAAGAGAGGTCAGTATTATAACATTAACCAAGGAAGTGTACACTAAAATTTAAAAATGAATCTAAAATTAAAAAAAAAAAGAGGAACCAATATTATCTTGAGAAAACTACAGAACAATATACATTGGGAAACACTGAAATTTCTCCAGTCAGTAGATAATTATTATCATCAAAATTTTGCTTCAAATTACAGAATACATTGCTACACATTTTTCTGTAGGAATACTTCAATATAAAAATGTCAAACTATAAATAAACAAATAAATAAATAAAAATTAAAGAAAGAAGAATGACAAGACCAGTACTAAGACGATTTACCTCCTGTTTCCTTATCCTCAACTAGAATTTCTAGCTTGAGAAGGCGCCATGGAACTTCTGGATCATCACCCATTACTGTCAAGGTTGCTTCAAATTCTCCTTCAACTCGAAACTTCACGCGGCCATTTGCTTTTAGAAGAGGAAGAAATGGACATTGCTTTAAAACAATAAGCTTCTGGCTAATCTCCAAGTTTCAATCTCATTTATGAAACATTTTAAATGGACTGTAAGCTTTGTCCTAAGTGTTGAAACAAGCCAATAGTTCAGACATAGACAGTAACCAATGTCTAGGTCATTGAGAAACCAAAGGCAACTCTTCCTACATATAAATAAACAGCACAGCATGTTCTCCATGATCAACTTTGGGGCCTCTTTTCTCTTTCAGCCTCGAATAATACCACTAACTCCCCCCCAGAAACAAATACCAGCACTGTATTTTTAAGATACTAAAAAGAAAAAAATGGATGGCAAATCATAGGTTCAAATACCACAAAAATTAAAACTTTACTTGTTCTATGAACAAAACCAAAAGGACATTTAAGAAAATATTCTTTTAAAAAATTCTATTTATTTATTATGTATACAGTGTTCTGCCTGCATATATGCCTGCAGAGGGTACCACATCTCATTATAGATAGTTGTGAGCCCCCAAGTGGTTGCTGGGAATTAAACTCAAGACTTCTAGAAGGGCAGCCAGTGCTCTTAATCTCTGAGCCATCTCTCCAGTGCAAGAAAATATTTTGTTTGTTTGTTTGTTTGAAGACAGGATTTCTTTGTGTAGGCTTGGTTGTCCTGGAACTAGCTCTGTAGACAAGCTTGGACTCAAACTCACAGAGATTCACCTACCTCTGCCTCCAAAGTGCTGGAATTAAAGGTTTGCACCACCACTGCCCAACGAGCTCAAAAATATATTCTTACAAAAAAAAAATTTCAGGTACATACCCACTGTAAGATTTGCTAGCTGTGGAGGAAGATCTGTTGTTACAAGCCTATGTCTAAGAATCTGATTAAGTTGATGAAGTGTGGCTTGTTTCTCAATTTTGGTAATTGGGTCTGGAGGAATAATTTTATCCTACGAAAAAAATAATATACAGAAAGATGAAATTGTTTACCTGCACTTGTCTTGATACATTTTCTTACTTTACTCAAGACAACCACAACACTCATTTCTGTTATCTACATCTAATAATAGTGACTATGCATTTGAATGCAAATAGTTCTGTCACCTTGCCAAAACCATGTTCTTCCTCGTGCTCCATTTATGACACCAAATTAATATCACATGACTTCCTCTATTTCCTAAATGTATAGAAAACAATAGCACCAATTCATTCAACTACCATAATACATTTTGAATGCACTTCCAAAATGCTACTGCTGTGCCAATTATTTTCACACCTGAAATGACACCAAATAATATTTGCCTATCTGCTCACTCCCAACAAGGACAGGGAAAGGGGAGGAAATGGAGGGAAAAAAGGAAAAAGAAAGGAGGAAAGAAAAGATTCCCCAGTTCAATATTTACTCACATCGTAGCCCCAATTTATTTCAAACTACCACACTTTTACTTGTAGAGAAAAAAACAACTATATAAACTGGTTTTTAAAATATTGTTTTTCCTATGCTACATAATCTAAACCCAAAGTCTTGAACTTGTACGAGTACAGGAGCAAAGCACTTACCCTGATGCAGGTTGGAAGTCGTGGATAAGAGCCAGTAGTCAGCACATCAATGGCATATGGGATAGCAAAACTAGGCAGGCGTGCATGGACCAGAGCATCTCTAGCTAAGGAGGCCAAGCGATCAGCGGTGTCCACAAACAAGATAGCTTGCTGATCTAAAAAGCTTGAGATCATCTTTAAAGCAAAGGGTAAATAAGCTGCCTTGAAAATTGCTTTCTTCATTAAATACCATTAACTCACTCCTAAGCAAGCTTCAAACGGTATTAAAATAAGTGGTTCCACATTTATTTGAAGAAGTGTTTATTTGTATGACACTAAAACAGTACTTTTCTTTCATTTTTCCACTTTTGACACCACTCAGTCATAATACCAAATATTAAGAAAAGAGTAAAATAAAATGGTTTTAATGTGATAGACTTCTAGGGTTGGGCAGCAATAAAGTAGTTAAAATCATGGACTCCAAGATTGCCTTGATCAAAATTTTAACTCTAACTTACTAGTCCTGTCCACTTTGACAAATAGGTCAACCTTTCTATGCCTAAGGTTTTCAGCAGTAAAATGGAGGTAAGATTCCCAACCTCATGAAGTTGTTCTGAGAATTAAGTACCACATACTTAATCTTCAGAACATAGAAAACACTAAGTACATACTGCCAGTATGAGATCCGGGCAACTTTCTACCCAATACGGGCGTTGGTATCACACGCCTTTAATCCCAGCACTCGGGAGGCAGAGGCAGGTGGATCTCTGTGAGTTCGAGACCAGCCTGGTCTACAGAGCTAAATTCTATCAGTTCTCTATTCAATAGACTAGTAGAGTCATCACAAGACTGAAATACTTTCTCTTTCAAACCTTTAGTTCTGTTTTACATCAATACCTAGCATTCCTTTCGCTCATGTCCTTCAAACAAGCTTCTGGTAGACAACTTAAAACACTGTAACCCAGAATTAATGCAATAGGGCATCATACCCTGACAGTGATCTGTATCTTCTTTTCATTTCTAGTTATTTTATTATCTAATTTCTACAACCCTATAATTACTATCACCTTAGAGATAAGAAAAATAGATTCACAGGTAAAGACCTTTTATTTCTTAGTTAGAGCCAGAAGAAATGCTACCTTTTGTAACTAGTGCAAGTCTATCAACACCACCAACGCTAAATTCATATTCATAGCCATGAAACTAATAAACAGTGTCAACTGCTGAATTCATTTTATCTTGGATTTAGGCCATTTTAAAATTTTTCAGGACTGGAGAGATGGGTAGGTGGTTAAGAACACGGGCTGCTCTTCCAGAGAACCCAGGTTCAATTCCCTGTACCCACACGGCAGCTCACAACTATCAGTAACTCCAGTTCCAGGGGACCTGACAATCATGGCAAAACACCAATCCACATTTTAAAAAAATTTAAAAAGAAATCTTTTTGGTGGTGGTGCTCACTTCTAATACCAGTACTCAGGAAGAGGTAGGCGGATCTGTGAGTTTGAGGCCAGACTGGACTACAAAGAGACTTCCAGGACAGCCAGGACTGTTACACAGAGAAAGCCTGTCTCAGGAAAAAAAAAAAAAAAAAAGAATCTTGTTACTTTGCTGGGTGGTGATGGTGCACACCTTTAATCCCAGCACTTGCAAGACAGAGGCAGTTGGATCTCTGTGAGTTTGAGGCCAAGCCAGGTCTACAGAGCAAATTCTAGATCAGATAGCCAGAGTGACAACACAGAAACGCTGCCTAGGAAAAAAAAATCTTATCACTCAGGAGAAAAGGTTCCTTATCACTCAGGAGAAAAGGTCTGTAAGGCCGGTTAAGAGAAAAGAAAACCAGAGAACTTCCCTCTGGGAAGATGGGAGATAAACTGAGATAACAGTTTATCTAGCCTGTAGATCTGTGTAATCAGATACTCTAACAGGTCCAGATACTCTAAACTTAGAAAGCAAATTAGTCAGATGGTAGTGGCTTTTGCCTTTGATCCTAGCACTCGGGAGGCAGAAGCAACAGAGACCACCCTGGTCTACAGAGCTAGTTCTAGGACAGCCAGGGCTGTTACACAGAGAAACTCTGTCTCAAAAAACCAAAAAAGAAGGAAGAAATCAAATTAATGCTAATGCTTTAGTTTTGAGCAACTTATTAGTAAACCTAGTAATTATCATGGTTTTTAAACATATTTGCACGCCAACTATCAATTTGGTTAAAAATTGTTAGACTTTGAGCAGTGAATGGACATTTCTCTAAGGAAGAAATACAAATGGCCAATGAAAATATGCTCATCATCAGTCAACAGGGAAATAGATGCTGAAACTTTAGTGGAAGGCAGGCATGGTGGTACATGCCTGTAATCCAGCACTCAGTACACTGAAGCAGGAAGATCACAAGCTTGACTTCAGCACAGATAACACAGCAAATACAAGGCCAGTCTAGACAACACAGTAAAATACTACCTCAAAAAAGAGACACAGGGAAATCAGTCAGGATGTATGAATAGACAGTGAAAACCCTAGTGAGATATGACTAGGATGGCTAAATTCAAAGCAGTTTATTATTATAGATATGGAAAAATTAGATCCTTCATATATTGCTGGTGGGATTGTAAAATGGTACAGCCATTTTAAAGAACAGTCTAGCTGATGAAACAATTATCTATGATACAACCACTTCACCTTAGGTATGTATTCAAAAGAAAGAAAGGCATACACAAAAAACTTTGTAACATTATCGATTCCAACTAGAGGAGATAAAAAAATGAGGGTTTCTGTGCAATTCAATATAAATGAAGTACTGACACATACTAAAAACATTATAAAGAAGCCTTTGAGAAAGCACATGAATCCATTTATAAGAAATGTTTCGAGTAGGTAAATTCAAACAGATAAGTAAGTAGGTTAATGGTTCCTATAGGTAAGGGCTAGGAGCAATAGATAAATGTTCTTTCTATGGTGATAAAAATTCTAAAATTGTTCATGGTGATGGACATATCAATCTTTGATCTTTCTCCTCCTTTTAGTTTGGCAACTTTTGCATAAGTTTTGGTTATAATTAGGCAATCAAGTGAAAGAGGCTAAGCAAAGACAACAGGCTAAAAACTGAGGTGAAATGTAAGAAACACAACTATGCTGTAGATTCTTTGTAGAGTGGGATTTTTGTGAAATAAGCACCTTCATCAACTTACAAAGAAAAATTCTCCATTAATATATTTTCAATTTACAAGAATGCTAAGAAAATAAATATTTAAGAAGCTTAATAAATCTCAGAGAATTTTTGAAGTTCTCATACATAATTTAGCTAGTACCAATTTGTTAATCTGCTTTAACCTATGAAAGCTAATAACCTTTTTTTAAAAAATAATTGATTTTATTTTAGGTGTATTGGTGTTTTGCCTTTATGTATGTGAGTATGTCAGATCTCCTGGAACTGGAATTATAGGCAGTTGTGAGCTGCTATGTGGGTCCTGAGAGTGGAACCTGGGACCCAGTAATCTTAACTGGCCTGAAAACTAATAACCTTTTTTAAATGTCATTAAATAAAAGAAAACAAAAAATGGAATTCTAACATCATTGTGAAGCTTAGTATAGCTCTGCACTTCCTTTCCCATTCACATTTGGTCTTGTAGAGCTGAACTTAAAAAGGGAACCTTAATTAAAGTAGGCAAATGCTGTCTGCATTTCAGTACTTTATTCACTATCTAACTACCCTTCCCAGTATGAATTCATTAGGAGTGATTGAAGTAAAACAAGAGGCAGTGCTCCTCATCTGTGAACACTGAATCATCCTCCCAAGTTTGCTCAGTAAGCTCATTCAAGGACCCTAGCTTGTCCTCTTAACATTCTTAGCTTAAAACTTGATTGGTTGTTGTTGTCGTCATTGTTGTGTGGAAACAGGATCTGTTGCTAGAGTCAACTGACTATGTAGCTAAGGATGATCTTAAACTTGTGATCCTTCTGCCTTCATCTCCCAAGTGCTGGGATTACAGGCAAACATCACCATGACTGGTTCACGCAGCACTAGAGACAAGTACATGATCTAAAACTACTACCAATTTCCAGCCCCTTAAAACAGTTTTAAGGGCTAGATTTAGTGTTTGTTACACTTCACTCTATGAAGTCATTTCCTTGAATTAAGAGTAATTCAACAGTCAAAAGACTATGAGCTTCCTGAAGACAGGGACTATGCTTTATTCAAGTCATTCCCTGCTATCTCTTATAACACGTGTTCAGTAGTTTCGGAGCGTGAGTAAATGAACTAACAACTGAACAGATACATGTCATCATCAGTTCTGTGACCTTGAAGAAGCCATGTATTTTCTAGAAATCATATCAATCTCATCTGTGAAAATAGAAAATACAGATTCTGCCATTCTCATCAGGACATCAGAAATCAATAAGCAAACTTTGAGAGAACCTTACAAACTCTAGCTCAGTGGTTCTCAACCTACCTAAGGCTGCAACCCTTTAATACAGTTCCTCATGTTGTGGTGACCCCTAAGCATAAAATTATTTTTGTTGCTACTTTATAACTGTAATTGTGTTACTGCTATGAATCATAATGTAAATATTATTGGAGATACAGGGTTGCCAAAGGGTTTGCAACCCACAGGTTGAGAATCGCAGCTCTAAAGACTCATACAATTTTGTTTTTTTTTTTTTTTTTTTTTTTTTTTTTTGGTTTGGTTTGTCCAGACAGGGTTTCTCTGTGGTTTTTGGAGCCTGCTAACCATTTCTCCCTTTTAGTTCCTCAAGTAATGTCTTCTAGGTATCTCCTCATCTTCCTTTTGATCAAGTGTCCAAAAATAAATATTATGCTTCGGCAGAAATTCATTTTGGAATTTCATAAAGGAACATGATTATTGACATCAGTAATAACATTTAATCAAGAGATATTAAAGCTAAATTTGTAAATTATGCAAAACATTTAAAGTTATTTTGCTTCTTTCAAGACAGCATCATGCCATGTAGTCTCCCTAACCTGGAATTTACAACTGTCTTTTACACAGTTTCCTGGATGCTAAGATCACAGACATGTGTTACCATGTCCAGCTTTCAAGTTATTTTATAAAGTAAAATCAAGTTTAACTCACCGCACACTTTTCTACTTTGCCAGCATCATTAGCCCATTTTACTAAAGCTAATAATCGAACGAAGAGTTGACGTGTCCGGCTAGCAAACTGTACAATTTCTATTTTCCTGTAAAATAAAATAATTCTCATCTGAAACCAGCACATTATATCTCACAATCTGTTTCAAATCTAAATTTTTAAAGTATTTGTTTACAAACACAACAAACTTAACCTAAAATATTTATATAAATATTTTCATCTCTTCTTTGGGTCCTTCCTGTCTGAAACTTTGACCACAGTGCAATAGATCCAATAGCAGTTTTTCCACAACGAACTACATTTTTATTTTTTAATTTTTTTGAACTACATTTTTAAACTAATTTTTATTATAATAAATGATTCTTATGATATATTAAATTCATGGATATGAAGTAGTGGGCATTAAATGAGTCAGAAGAGACTAATTTAGGAGCTATGAAGTATAAATTTCTTAACTGAAACTACTGTTAATTAGTTACCATTTTGGTTAGAGGAGTTGAAATATATTCTTTACCAAAACTTGGAAGTGTGTTCTTTCTACAAAATCAAGGGTTATTTCCCAAGTTGCAATAGCATAACTGAAAAAAAACTTAACAAAGAACTTCAGTATGAACTCTTCACACCAATTTCAATGGCAAAGTTCATTACCTTAGCCAAATTAAAGACAAGCTGAAAGTAAAAGGAAAGTAGGTCTTTCCATATGTATTTTAATACTGTACTCACATCTATGCTTTTTCACCCAGCAATCACCCATATTTTTATCATCTCATGAAGCTTTAAGAGCTTCATTAAAAACTCTCTGCCTATGTTAGCTAGAGCTCTTTACTTCAGGACCACTACACAACTGATAATCATACCTTTTATTGTCTAAGACACTGGAAAAAAAGAAAACTTCAACATGCCAAGACTAATGGCAAAACCCAGAATACCAACCTACCTCCAAGTGCAGATGAATTTATTAATTTTAATGTGACTTTGCAATGAACTACAAGTCCAACCAACATCTCTGCATCTTGCCAATAACATCACCATGACGCAATGCATGCAAGTAAGTTTTTGCTGAAGTCTAATGCTGACTGAATACGTCAAAGTCAAGCTGCTACTGAGAGTGTAGAAGGACCACACACAACCTGAAAAGCTTCTTTAAGAACAGTCAATACCATGATTACTGGAAACAGAAAAAGAAAAGCCAAGGACGCACTTATGGCTCTTTGTCAGTGTCTGTCAAGGATTATAGAAAAAAAACAAGCAAGACTGTGACACAACACAAGTGCTAAAATTACATTGACTTCTGACAGGGCTGGGGTTGGAGCTCAGAATATAAGGCTCTGTTCAACCCCCAACACCACACAACCACCTGGACACCGCCTACACAGGACTCAGAACATCAGTGCTGCTCCTCTCTAGGTTTGTCTAGTATATTTTTGCACAGAGAAATCCTGCCTCGAAACAACAACAATTTAAAAAAAAAACTGACCAGCCAAGTTATTATATAGGTTAAGTTTCAGTAGTGTCTTCCAGCTCTATCTTTTTGATTTGTGTCTAAGTCTACAAACAGAGCATGTGGTGTTAGTAATGAAGAACTAACGAATACTATAAACTTCCCTAGTGACTTGGTCTTTAAAACCAATACCAAGGCGCACTGGTAGTATGAAAGATATAATGAAGTTAGCTTTGTATTATAGTCCCAATTTAAACCCCAATAACATAATCTCCTTAAATCTTAATTTATCTTATTCCTTTGGCCTATGGAAACAACAGTGTTGTCTTAAGCCCCAAATTTAAAATTGACTCAAAAAATTTTCAACTATAAAATAGCAATAGCTAGAGACGAAACGCAATGTGCTAAAAGATTTAACAGTATCATTACTACAACTGGTAAATGAAGAGCCAGCTGTCTAAAGCCAGTCTACTCCTCAACTTCCAGTACAAATAGACAGTTACATTTTCCTATTCCTCCCAAGGATTTGCCTTGGTCGGTCATCAACAAAAGTTTAAAGAACAAAGGTTCTACACATTCAACTACCAAGAATAAGAAAATCTCATTCCCTGGTGCTTCTGACTAAATACACAGTTCCACGTCTCTTTGGGCCTAGGTTCCTAATCCACACCCCTAGACCATCAACAGCCCCATACCCATACTCTAGACTAGAAGAAAAAAAGTCAATAAGGAGAAAGATTTAAGATTTTTTTTTGATACTCACCTTTCCACATCAGATTTCCTTGGTAATCTAAAAAAAGAAAAAGTTGATTAAATATATGCATGCCTGGTGAAAATGTGATAATGGTCTTTACTGTGACACTATTTCTTCACGCTTTCAGAAAAACTGAGCAAACAGTAACTACAGGCTCAAGTGGCTGCTAACTCCCTACACTGATAAATTAGCAACAATATGGCTGTAAAGTACAAGCTGAGAAAGCAACATTTCTTTCCACTCAAAATGATTCAGAAGAGCCAGGCGGTGGTGGCGCATGCCTTTAATCCCAGCACTCGGGAGGCAGAGGCAGGTGGATCTCTGTGAGTTCGAGACCAGCCTGGTCTACAAGAGCTAGTGCCAGGACAGGCTCCAAAATCACAGAGAAACCCTGTCTCGAAAAACAAAACAAAAAAAAATGATTCAGAAGATACTATGTAAACTTTAAACACTTAAAAAGTGCAAGCCTGGAGTGTGGTGGTGCACACCTTTTGATCCCAACACTCAGGAGGCAGAAGCAGGAGAATCTATTTCAGTATGAGACCAGCTTGTCTACACAGTGAATTCCAGGACAACCAGAACTACTTAGAAACACTCTTAAAAAATAAATAATACTGCAAGTTCCATATCAGCACACAATATCAGAGTCAGAAAAGGTATCTTTTAATACCAAAATGACTACAGGTGTAGGAATAGTGGTTAGTTATCAGCCTCTCTGAACCCAAACCTCTGTGAGCACTTTGATAATTAGCAGAAATGTTGTGTTACAATAGGTGACTCTGGAAGCTAAGGGTGCAATCAAGGCTTTATGACAATTATGACATTGCATAATGGTTAGATGAAGGATTTATATATTTTTTTATTTTTTAAATTTATTTGTATTTTGCCTGTACGTATGTCTGTGTGAGGGTGTTGAATCTTAGAATTACAGACAATTGTGAGCTGCCTGGGTCCCCTGGAAGAGCGGTCAATGTTCTTAACGACTGAGTCATCTCTCATAAGTGATTTATATTACTTTTTAATAGAACCATCAGTGTTCTTGATTTCTTTTTGCTAGTTCTCCAGTACTGACTGCCAGAAACCTATGTCAACTTTCTCATTGATAAATTATACTACTACTCTAGCGATGCTTGGAAAGCTCTTAACTTCCACATTCCAGTAACCTCTAGCTCACGGTCTAAGCATGATGGCCTGAATACCTCTCAAGGCTGCCCAGCAAATATTGGATCCTGAAGAATGCACCCAAGCTGCTTAATGGTCTTCCTGCATGCACACACATCCACCCCATGTGCCTCATAAACAGAGAAAGGCACAAGTAGGGGAAAGCACTGTCTTATTCTCAGGGAAGACATTGGGATAGATGGAAGCTACAGGTATAATCAGAGTGACAGGAACTAGATAGTGAGCTGGAATATACAGTTCAGTGGTAGAGCACCTACACAGCACATGCCTGGGCTCAATTCCTAGTAGAAAGGTGGGGTTCGGGACAATGATGGACACCAAGGCAGAGGTCAGGATATGCATGGGAGTTTAAATTAAGTAGGAGCTGAAAAGGCCTATTTACCGAAAAGCCAAGTAGAAGCTAAAGGCCTATTAGAAGCCTGCAAATAAGAATTAGGTATAGTAGCACACACCTGTAATTACAGCACTTGGGAGGCTGAGAAGGAGGATTGCCACAAGACCAGCCTAGAATAGATAGAGTAAGACCCTGTCTCAAAGACTGCAAATAAAAGCAGCCCCTGGTAAGTTCCTCTACATAAAAAAAGCTCCTCAGAGTACTCCCTGAAAAGCCTTGTTCTCAAAAGAGAGAAAAATGAGGATTGGGGGATGGGGAGACAGAAGCACTTAGAGGTAGAATAGGAAGGCAGGAACCATTGTTCCAGCTCCTACCTGCCCCCAGAGACTCTAAAGGATCAGCTCCCACCAGAAATTCTACCATTTCCAGGGTAAAGGACAGGATTTGCTGCCTGTCTCCTTTTCTCCCAATGCTTCCACTTCTATTTTAAATTCCTTTATGAAACTCACCACATGGGGGGAAACCCTAAGATGCAAATATTGAAAGAAGGCACAGAGCACATTTATTCCACACCAGTAAAAGTTTATATGGCTATAACCCTAGCAAAGAGGTTAAAAAGCAAAGAATAGCTGGGCAGTTGTGGCACACGCCTTTAATCCCAGCACTCGGGAGGCAGAGGTAGGTGAATCTCTCTGTGAGTTCCAGGACAGTCTGGGCTACAAAGCAAGTTCCAGGACAGGCTCCAAAGCTACACAGAGAAACCCTGTCTTGGAGGGGAAAAAAAAGCAAAGAATAGAATATATGCCCCTAAAAAGTATGAGTATGTGTTGGGGGTGAACAAGCAGAAGAAAAAAAAAATCTAGAAACTTGGGGCTCAAACCAAATCATCTAAATTATTGAAACCGTTTGTGTGTGTGTGTGTGTGTGTGTGTGTGTGTGTGTGTGTGTGTAAGTCTACAAATAGGTCATTTGATGTTGGTAATTGAGAGGAAGCCACTAATAAATACTCTAAGTCTCCCTAGTGATTTGATCTAAAAAACCCAAACCAAGGAACACAGGTAGTATATCAAAGATATAATCACTTTTTTCCCCAGTTTTCTTTTGTTGTTGTTTTTTGGTTTTTTTGGGGGGGTTGTTTGTTTGTTTGTTTGTTTTTTTGAGATAGGGTTTCTCTGTGTAGCCCTGGCTGTCCTGGAACTCACTCTGGATCAGGCTGGTCTCAAAATCAGAGATCTGCCTACCTCTGCCTAAATGCTGGGATTAAAACTGTCAAAACTATCTTTTTATCTTTCATGTTTCAGACAGAACCAGATGTTGAGAAACTAAATACCATGTCCCTCAAGACTTATACATTAATGTACATTAATACATTAATTCTGACAGGAGAATGCTGTTCCATGTCAATCTGGGCTACAAAAGAGCAAGACTGTCTCAAAAACAAAACCAAGAAATTTTAGTTGCCATATAAGGGTTTTTTGTTTGTTTTCTTAAGTATCAAAAATAAAAGTGGTGCTGGGTGGGGGTGGCACACACCTTAAATCCCAGCACTTGGGCCAGCAGAGAGGTGGATCCCTGTGAGTTCGAGGCCAGCCTGGTCTACAGAGCTAGTTCTAGGGCAGTCAGGGTTACATAGAGAACGCTGTCTTGAAAAACATTATTATTATTATTATTATTATTATTATTATTATTATTATTATTACTGTTGCAGCAGTGTGCACCAGAACTTGAAAGGTAGAGACAAGCTAGGGCTATTACAGACAAACCCTGTCTCAAAAAATAAACAACAAAAAGACAGTTGCTTTTCCCTTAATTACCCATGGTTTAAAGAGACATTTCTGAGAATTCATTCATTCATGTACTAAATTTAGTTAAGTCCCAAGTCCATGCCAGACATTGTTCTTGTCACTGGGAAACCAAAACAAATCAAAATCCTTGTTTTCCTGGATTTTCTATTCCACGGGGGAAGCACAGTAAACTAATGATGTCTCAAGCAGTAAGCACTGTAGGGGAGAAACACTAAAAAATGTGCAAAGTACTATTATATGAGTGCTTGGATAAAGTCTTTGATCTACGCTATACATGAGCCAAGACTGAAAGGAAAGGAGAAAGAAAACGACATGTATTTTTGGAAAAAGAGCAATGTGCCAAGAAACATCAAGGTTAGGGTAGGTAGATGGAACAGAATAAGACTTAGCACATTAACTAAAAAAGGTAAAGTAGATAAGACACAGTTCTCTCAGGGCCTACGCACAGCATAATCCCAGTGTACACTTGCTTTTTCTGTCTTTTTTTTTTTAATGTGTGGTGCAGGAAAGCTGGAGCCAGGACCTGGCAAATGCTCTACCTCTAGGCTACATTCCCAGTCCACTGGGCATTATTATTGTTGAAACATAATACCAGGCAGCCCAAATTGACAGCAACCCTCCCCTCCTGTGCGCTGCAAGTTGCCTACAAGCTGTTAATTTCTGATCCTCCTGCCTTGACCTCCAAAGTGCTGGGGCTACAGGTGTGCACTACTATATTTATAGCAATTTTTTCATGTCCAAAGGTATTCTGGTTTAGACCACAAATCTAATAGAGAAGTAATTCTAAGAACTTTTTTCTCTGTGTTTTTTTTTTGTTTTTGTTTTTATTTGTGAGTTTGTGGTTTCTTTGTGTGGGGGGGGCGGGAATTTTAGGCTTTGAAAACAGGGTTTTACTATGTAGCTCTCACTTGTCTTAGAATTGACTATGTAGACCCACCCGCCTCTGCTGGAATTAAAGCCATGCACCACCAAGTCTGGCTCTGGGGTATTTTTTTGAAATAGAGTCTCACTATGTAGCCTGAGGCTGACCTAAACTTATGAACCTCTTGCTGTAACTTCCCATATGCTGAGATCCCAGGCACATATCCAGCACCAAACCCAGCCCCTGCGTTAGATATTGAAATGTATGGATCTGGACACAGAATGTGGAAGTCAGCTGAGGTCTGTGCTAGAAATATGTCTAGGAATCATCACACAAATGGTGTAGAACTAAAACTATATTATTCTACAGCAATAAGACAGATGCCTCTCCATAAGCCAAGTCCAAAAACTTACAAATAGAACACAACTCAATAAATTTATACAACTCCTCTACAGAAAATCAAATCACATGATCCATGACCACAGTCTTTTTCCCACGGCTATGCACAGGACATATGAAATTTTCTCCTGGATTTTTTTGTTTTGTTTTGTTTTTCAAGACGCCCTGTAGCCCTGGCTGTCCTGGAACTCTGTAGACCAAGCAGAGATCCGCCAGCAGCATTTCCCTCTGCCTCCCGGGTGTTGGAATTAAAGGCGTGCACAACCAGCCAGCCATCACCACCCATCACCTCAAGAATTCCTAAACAGGACAGCTATTTCTCTCTCAGTCAGAAGTCATGGGGAGGGGAGGAGCCAAACACCTTTAATCCTAACATTTAGAAATGAGAGATCTTGCGTTCAAAAACAATTCTCAGCAGGCGTGCTGGCCCAAATTTAGTAATCCCAGCCCGAAAGAGGCTGAACCACATCTGAAAGTTAGAGGCCAGTCTCACTATACAAGACCCCGTCTCAAAAAAAAAAAAAAAGACACCTCTTTTGGCAAGGTTAAGCTTTGTCTCGTACAATAAATAGTGCATCAAAACTAAAAGGAATGTTTTGCAAGAGTATGAGAAGCCGTCTCTAATTCTTTTAGCCGTGTACAATGAAATATTTAATTTTCCAGTAACAAAGTTATCACAAGATACTTCCTAATGTCTGCATATTAATGTATTTTCCTAGAAACCCGACAGAGCCTAACAATAGGTAGATAAAAGGTGAAAACTTTTATGAACCTCAGCTAGAAGATGTAAAACAGAGTTTCAAAATTTCGTAATACCTTTTCTTCGCACACTGAACCACCAGTGTATTCGGTTTGTGTTCTGAAGGGATTAACACCCTAATCACGTCCCAAGGCATTTCATAGGTAACTAGGTGACTGAAACCAGCAGGCTCATTAACAGAACGTATTTTACTTTCACTACATTCAGAGACTTCGAACGCTTTCAAATGTTTCAGAAAGACTCGGGATTCAAAATGTAATGTTTTAAACAGAATCTCTATCTCCCGAGCCCAAAGAGAAGCAACTGTAATCTACTTTTAAAACATTGCCAAAAGGCTGTGAAACATTTCCCTTCTTTGAAAATAGTGTTCAGTTAGAATTTTACATAGTCCTAAAAGCTTACTCTCAATCTTAGGGTTCTAAAAACCTAAGAAATTGATTTCCACCAAGAAATCAATCGAGTTCTATTGGGAACGCAAGACAAAAATCCTAACGACAATCTTCAGCGCAAGTGTAACACGCGAAACTAACCAGTCTCAGTGCTTTCACCGCCAACTAGATCCCCAATACTAACTAACCTCATCCACGTCCCCGCAACCTGAACCCCAAGAATTCCAAAATTCTACACTGAACAGCCGCGCTCACTAAACGGCGGTCGCAAGGTTCTGTCGGCCCACAGGGCGGGAAGGGCAAGTGGGGAGCCGGGAAGCAGGTACGGGTTCGCAGCACTTACAAGTCCGTCAACACCAAGAGCTCCGAGTAGGCCCGGTGCAGAAGAAATTCGATGAGCGTGCTAAGCCGGTACCCAGGGCTAGCTGCGGCCGCAGCTGCCGCCACCGTGGATCCTGGCGGCGGAGGAGCCGGGGCTGCCGCCGAGCCGCTGCCGCCCGGAGGGATCAGCTGGTGGTTCTCCAGCTGCACTGGGGCCATGGCGGCGCAGAGCCTGGCTTGGCGCAACCGCCCGAGAAGCGGCCCTGGAGCCTCCTCCCGGGGTCGGTGACCGCACCGAGGCGGGCGCGGGCTAAGTAGCCGCCGCCTAGCGCCAGGCCCCCTCTGTCGAACAGGAAGCCGAGTCCGGGCTGCGGAGGCCCGCCCCCATGTAGAGCCGGGCCGGCCGGCCGCGAGGAGGCGAGCGCGGGCGGGACAGGAGGATGGAGAGGCGGGTCGGCCGCCGCTCGACGGAACGAGCTTCAGAGACTGTTCAGCGGCCGCCCGGCGGGTGGGCTACAGCAACCGTGTTGCGGGGCCTGGGGCGGAAGTCGCCTGGCAGAACGGAAGGGGAACCCGCGGGAGGCTTTTTCCACAGGTTACCTGTGACGGTTCCCCGTGATGGTTCCCCGCGCTGTACCGGGCTGGAGGGGGCCACTCGGGAGGGGGTGTGTGGGAGTGGGGCGAGGCGGGGCGAGGCGGCGCGTGGGCGGGAAAGCGGAAAAGGGGGGTGGGTGAACGCGCACTGCCGGAAGCCGTACCGCCAGCCGAGAGGGTCGCGTCACAGAAACGTCAGCAGTCCCGAGTGTTCTTTTTGCCCCTGCCTAGGCGGCCACAGGGGGCTATGGGCGGAGGAGGGTCGGTGGAGAAGTCGCCGGTCACCCATCTATTCTCGTCGCCCCCCGCGCTCTGACGAGAGGTCGCCGGTGACCGCGCGCCGTGACTCTCCCACGCGCGCTCCGCCCATAGGCATCTCTGGCGCGACGCGTGGGAGACAACGTTGCAGTCATTATTTCTTTCTCTCTTTTTTTTTTTTTTTTTGTCAACTGTGAGAAAAATGGGCGAGAAAATGGAACAGGACAGGCGCAACGGAACAATAACATCAATTGAAAGCAGTCTCGGGTGCTCCGAGCCTGACAGTGAAACACATGCAGTCCTTAAATCCTTCGTTGGCATTCTTGGCTTTTGTCCCTGCCCTTGCAGTAGCCGCCCTGTCTTGCATGGGTTTTTACTTCAGCGTCGTTCCCTATTGCCTCTTTTCCTCCAAAAATCCACGTATTTTGTATGTGTTTTCAAATCTTGGCTCCTGTTTGGAATCACGTACAAGACTTTTAAGAAAGAAAGAAAAAAAGAGTCTATGGGTTCCATAGCCATAGATTCAGATGCAATTGTTCTTACGTGATGTCTGGGCTTCGAGTTTTTGTTCTTTTTTTTTTTTTAATAGTCACCTAGCGATTCTAACGCACAACTCACGGAGAAATTCACTGTTAAAAGCGTCTGTTTCTGTGACCCTACCTAAACATCGTTTTGCAGCTTCATCTCCCGCAGGTGTAACAGATGCTCATGCTGATCCGAAGGTTAGACAATTCTCTTTGTTCTCCACTTGTGCAATTGCAGTACTCTTTCTGACTCTTGGTCTCACTGTGTTGTCTTGAGGCTCCTGAGCTCAAAGTACTTAGGACCACAAGCTCCTGCATTCCTCACCCACTTTTCAGATTGAGAAATCGTCTTTTTATGGGGTACAATGTTAAATTGCAATGCATGGATACACTCCCGAATGAACAAGTCAGATTCATTAATGTGCCTCTGATACTTTCTTCTTTGGGGGTGAGAACAGCTAACACACCACCTCCTTCTGCATCCTTGCCTATCTATAGTAGGCAAGCATTCTGCCATATATGCCTAGCCATTTTGTGTTGCGTTGGGTTCTTAAATGATGTAGGGTTACCTGGAACTTGCTACGTAATTTAGACTAATATTCAACTTGTGATCCCCTGCCTTAGCCTCCCATGTAACTGGGCTTATAGGTGTGCATCTCTGTGTTCTATTAAAATCCACTCTTAACTATAGGAGATGCTATTAACAGGAGGTATAAACTAAAATTGCTGCATTGCACATTGCTGCCTGAAAGGTATTTTTTCAGTAACATTTCCCTTTTCCCTGCCCTCAGCCTCTACTAAACATTATTTACTGTTGCTTCAATGAATTGGACATTTTAAGATTCCACTTAAGGTGAGATGCGATACTGGCTTTGTGTGCCTCCTTTTTTGACTGGGTATAATTAATGCCCTCTCGAGCCACCTATGACACTTCATAGTCTTTGCTTAAAGTAATAGTCCATTGTGTATTATAAACAGCACAGAAGTTTTCTAATATGCCTAAGGTCATAGTATAACCCAGACCTACCTTAGGCTAAGTTCCTCCTGCCTCACTCCTGAATGCTAGGCTACTGTGAATGCATCAATTTACCCAGCCACATTTGTGTGTGTGTGCTGGGGGGTCAAGAAGCAAGAATGTTCGGCAAGTTCTCTGCCACTAAGTTGCATCTTCAGCCCTGAAGCAACATTTTTCTTTCTATCTATCTGTTGATAGGCACTTTAAAAAAAATCTGTATCTGCCAGGCAGTGGTGGCGCACGCCTTTAGTCCCAGCCATTGGGAGGCAGAGGCAGGCGGATCTCTGTAAGTTCGAGGCCAGCCTGGTCTACAAGAGCTAGTTCCAGGACAGGCACCAAAACTACAGAGAAACCTTGTCTCAAAAAACAAATCTGTATCTTGGTTATTATGAATGCTGGTATATTTTTCAGGTGTGGTGGTGTACTCCTGTGATCACAAAACTTTGGAAGTAGAGTCAGGAAGACCAGGAGTTGAATCGTTCTCAACTACATAATGAGTTCCAGGCTAGTCTGGACTATATGAAACCCTGGATCTGAAATAAGATAGTAATGCAAATATCTTTTTGACATAGTAATTTCACTTCGTTTTAATATATACCCAGAAAATTGGATTACTGGATCACTTGGTATTCTCTTTAGTAGCTGCAGGTCTCTCCATACTGTTTTCCAAAATGGCTATAGTAATTTTGAATTCTCACCAACACTATACAAGGTTTCTTTTTTCTCCCCATCTTCCCTATTTTTTCCTTTTCTTTATAGCCATTCTAGCAGATGTAAGGTCTTATCTTTTTTTTAATATCCATGGTGGGACAGATAACATATTTGTGTCAGGTAAAAATCAGGCATTTCTTCAGACTCCAAAGAGTGTGAAATGGAATGGGGGAGGGGGAGAGGAGTGGGGAGAGGGGGAGGTGAGTTGGGGGGAGGGGGAGAAAAGTGGGGGGAGGGGAGAGGAGTGGAGGGTGAGGAGAGGAGTGGGAGGAGGGGCAGGGAAGTGGGAGGCGGGGAGGAGGCAGAAATTTTTTCAACAACAACAAAAAAAGCCATGGCGGGGCTGGAGAGATGGCTCAGAGGTTAAGAACACTGGCTGTTCTTCCAGAGGTCCTGAGTTCAATTCCCAGCAACCACATAATGGCTCATAACCATCTGTAATGAGGTCTGGTGTCCTCTTCTGGCATAGAGGTATACATGCAGGAGGAATATTATACACATAATAAATAAATCTTTAAAAAGAAAAGCCATGGCACATGCACAGAGTAAAAAAAAATCAGGCCATTTCTTTTCCAGTTTTGACTTGTCTTATTCAAGTTTTTCTCTCCTTTAAAAACAATATTGACTTCAATTAAGACATTCTTGTTGTCACAAACAAAAGATGATTGTATAAGATGGTCCATCAAGTCTTCTCTAACACTTTCTATTTCTGTATGATGTTGAGAAGGTTTCAGTTGTGTGTTCTTGTATAAACACAGTAACAAATCTTGCCTTTTGGTATTTCTTCTATTAGGCAGTAAGGTTCTACCTAGACAGAGTCTCGACAATTTGTCAATAAGAGGAAACTCTCAGGGTGGAACATGGAGGGAGGCAGATCCCTGTGCAGAACCAGCTGGCCTACATAGGAATTTCTAAGCTAGTTAGGGATGCACAGTGAGGTCTTAATCTCAAAAAAGAAATAAGAAAAAAAAGGAAGGAAGGAAAAAGAAAGAAAGACAAAAGAAAGAAAGAAAGAAAGAAAGAAAGAAAGAAAGAAAGAAAGAAAGAAAAACAAAGAAAGAAAGAAAAGGAGGAAAAAGAAAGGCCTTTAATCCTAGCACCTAGCACTTGGGAGGCTGAGGCACATAGATAAGTTCAAGGTCAACATGATCTACAAGAGAACAGGCTCCAAAAAACTACAGAGAAACCCTGTCTTGAAAAAAAAAAAAGAAAGAAGGAAGGAAGAGGAAGAAGAAGAAGGAAGGGATGGAGGGAGGAAGGAAGGAAAATCATAATTTTTTTCCTAGCTATGCTAAAATTCAATATCCTATAAATAAATGGTTGCTAATGGGTGAACAAGAGGAAGAGACCTGGTCAGTCGTCCTCACCAACTTAGACCATGAAAGCCAATGTGGACAAGTTCAACAGAACAGCCATATATGGGCTGCCCATGCATACTTCAGCATTGCCAGGGCATACATTTCATTTTTTTTCAGTGGGTGAACAAAGGAAGAAGAAAAAGAGAAACTTTTTAAAGGAAAGGGAGCTGTGAATGGAGAATCTAATTATTAGCCAGGTGTGGTGATGTACGCCTTTAATCCTAGTACTCAGGAGGCAGAGGCAGGCAGACCTCTGAGTTAGAGACCATCCTGGTCTACACAAAGAAACCCTGTCTCAAAACAAAGAAAGAAAGAAAGAAAGAAAGAAAGAAAGAAAGAAAGAAAGAAGGAAGGAAGGAAGGAAGGAAGGAAGGAAGGAAGGAAGGAAGGAAGGAAGGAAAGAAAGAAAGAAAGAAAGAAAGAAAGAAAGAAAGAGAAAGAAATAATCTGCCAGACAGTGGTGGCACACACCTTTAGTCCCAGCACTCAGAACGTAGAGAGCCAGGTGGGTCTTGTGAGTTCAAAGACAGTCTGGTCTACAGAGCGTGTTCAAGGACAGGCTCCAAAACTACCCAGAAACCCTGTCTTGAGAAAAAAAATCCTATTTATTATATTCTTCCTTAAGAGATGATTTTTCAAGCCACAGAGAAACCCTGTCTCGAAAAACAAAACAAAAAAAAAAAGAGAGATGATTTTTCCCCTGCTGTGGTTCTGTTTTATCTTATTTCCTCTGAATTAAAACGTTCAGGTCTGGAAGGATTTGAGAGGTTCAGAAGACTCAGAAAGTTGAGGATATACAGCAAACTCCTTGGGAAGCTGGGAGATTCTCAGGTCCGTTCCCCAGGAAAGGTCCAAACAAATCTCAGCATAATAAAACGTCAGGAACATCAGCAGCATAATAGCTAATATCCAAGTTCCAGTGACCTCAAGTCGCAGGAGCTTCTTTGCACAACGAATAGCCACAGCTAAAAGACCCAGGGGCTCCAACATTGCTTATTTTGTTGTTGTGCTTTTAGTGTTAGTTTCCCTTTTTGTTTGCTTTTTGTTCTGGTTCTGAGATAGGCTTTCATATAGCTCAGGCTGGCCTTAGACTCCATATGTGGCCTAGAATCAATGACTTTGAACATCTGATCATTCTTTTTTATTTTTTTATTAAAAATATCTGCCTCCTCCCCGCCTCCTCCCCGCCTCCCAATTCCCTCTCCCTCCCTCTCCAGTCCAAAGAGTAGTCAGGTTTCCCTGCTCTTTGGGAAGTACAAGGTCCTCCCCACTCCATCCAGGTCTAGGAAGGTGAGCATCCAAACAGACTAGGCTCCCACAAAGCCAGTACATGCAGTAGGATCAAAACCCAGTGCCATTGTCCTTGGCTTCTCATCAGTCCTCATTTTCCGCCATATTCAGAGAGTCCAGTTTTATCCCATGCTTTTTCAGTCCCAGTCCAGCTGGCCTTGGTGAGCTCCCATTAGATCAGCCCCACTGTCTCAGTGGGTGGGTGCACCCCTTGCAGTCCTGACTTCTTTGCTCACGTTCTCTTTCCTTCTGCTCCTCATTTGGATCTTGGGAGCTCAGTCCAGTGCTCCAATGTGGGTCTCTGTCTCTATCTCCATCCATCGCCAGATGAAGGTTCTATGGTGATATGCAAGATATTCATCAGTATGGCTATAGGATCGGGCCATTTCAGGCTCC